ACACACACACACACACACACACACACACACACACACACACACACAGAGAGCAGTTTAATTACATGCTGTTGAGCAACTGTTTCTTTAATGCATTCTGCGTTCATTGATTTGAAAGGTCTCCGACATTGAATTACGCTATAGATTTTGGCATTTCAAACGCATGCACATGCGCGCCCAAATATCCATACTAATTGCCTTTTTAGCATTCAGAAGCTGCTCTATTAGCAGTTTTTTGTTACTGAGTGCATTCCTGCTGAAGGAGAGAACAGCAGGGCAGAGATGCTATCGGTCTAAAAGAGCAGCTCGAAGGAATCCCGTCTCCCACACGTCAACTGACCCTGCATGCTAAACTAAATGACACAGGCCAGCTTCATTTCAAAACGCTGTGGGCAACAGTTCTGAGACCAGCACAACGCCACCGAGAGGAATTAGCACATAAAATAAATGAATGCGCTGGACTTTGATATCATCTTAATAATCACAGATTACATCAACACAACCAACCTTGAACCTGTTCCAAGTGTCCGTGAGCAAGGCACAAATGTCCGGAGTCACTAAAGATTCAACCTAAACCAATGCAAACGTAATTTAAGTTCTGTGTACATAAAGAAAAACAGCACACACACACACACACACACACACAGAATGTAGATTCAAAAGTAACCTTAGTTAAAGGCAAGTAACCTTAGCTTCACGACCAATCAATACTATGTGGTTTTTCAACGCAAATGCAAAACATGCACTCCATATGCATATCTGCAAGCCTTCTCTCGGGGTAAGCCTATACACACACACACACACACACACACACACACACACACACACACACACCACTCTCTCCCTCAAGCTGCCTGGGCATCCATCCACCTGACAAAAACACAACTTCTTATCCCACACACTTGGCATGGTTGCCAACTAAGCCCCAGTTCTCCAGAAATAATAAACCGCCTTTTCACCGCGACTCTCCAAAACCGTGATAGAAGACTGCTGAAAGCCTCTGTGCTTCCATTGTAAACCCCTCAACTCATTTACTAGTACACCGAGTGTTACTTCTGTGACCGTGTGTGTTGGTTGTACATAATGTCCCATGTGCCACTGCCATGGGGGATATTTCTTTTACACACTAGGGCACGACATTAACGCTTGCCCGGGGCAAGTAGAATGCCTCATGCAGTTGTCTGATACCATAGCATATATGGCAAACATCAGCACTTTTGAGCAGCCTACAACGGCGAGTATGCCAATAAACATTTTAAATGAATGAGAAAAATGATGTCAGCAAGTATTTCCCGTGTGTTTGTATCGTCACAGAAGCAGTGTGTTCGTATGGATCTGCTTTTTCTAGAGACGGCAGGATCTTAAAAAGGCAACGGTGAAGAGAGTGAATTTTACTGATCTGAAATATTGCCATGTTTACCTGTGAAAAGTGTGTACGATCAGCAGCTTATGGCTTTTAACAAGTGCAGAGACAACACACCGACAACTATTGTTTCTTCTTCTTAGTTGGACCTTTTCTAGTCTGTAACCAGCTTTACCACATCTACCTGCACGTCACATGCTCATCAAACATCAACCTCTACCATCTTCAAACAAAAGACTTATCTAATGTTAACATTTAGATTTAAGATTTCCAAGACAAAAAGAACAACTGAAGACATTTTCACCACCGCTAGATATGGGGCCCCATCCATGCAAGTGTGTATGTGTGTGTGAATTTTTATGTGTGTGTGAATTATAATGTGTGTGTGTATGCGCTCCTTTGCGGTACCAGGAGGTGCAGGCATAACGGCCAGCGTGTGACTGAGCGCGAGGCAGCCCGTGTGCCTGCCTCCTCCACTCATTTGTTCTGTCCGTCCATCATGAGGAGAGAAGCAAGAGAAGAATGAGTGAATAAGAACAAACTTTATGTGGGTATTTGGATTCGCTTTGATCCTGTACCCCTTTATTTTGTGTCTCCATCATGCAAGCAGAAAGTGATGAAAGGAAGAAAAAAACCCTCTCACATTCCTCCTGTGCGTGTGTCCCTCCCAATGATTGGAGGATTAATTGTAAAGAAAAAAGAAAAACTCTGGCATCAACTAAGAAGACAAAGAAGTTCTGAAGTCTGTTATTATTTGGTGCATTTCAATTGGAAAATGTCTTTGCGTACAAAATTGGCATGACAGGAAGGGTGAAGGACAAAGTGAGCGTGAGGAGACAGCTGAAGCAGCAAGACAGGAAGATTGGACTGATCGAAACTAATATTTCCTTCTAAGCTACTCAGTTATGATGATTCATCCAAAATGTAAAATGCAATTCATCAATAAGTTGTCTATTCAAACGTGCCAAACAACAGTGCTGTTGAAACAGCCACAGCAAGGTGTAGCCTCCCTTCTTTCACTGTGGATTAAGAGATTATTTATTTACAAATTAAGTTCTGTGTCTACAAAATGTCCCAAAACAATTGAGAAAGACACCATCGCAATTTTCTGGAGCCCAACGTAACATATTTAAATTGTTTGTTTTGTTAAATACAAACACCAAAGTAAATGCATTTACCATTAGCAAGACAAAGAAAACAACTGGAGACAGCAAATGTTTGGCCTTTATATGCTGGAAAAGTGACAATAGAATTGTAAAATTGCGTATATTTTTTTTAGACAAGTAAGGAGATTTAAAGCTTGCCAAAGGCGCTCTTAATCAGTATTTACATATAATTCGATTATGATTAACTATGTAAGCCATTTATGTTGTGTTGGTCAGTGCAGATGTGTTTTAACATGCAGTTCCTCTAATGGTCCCTCGAGACAGGCTCAAGTGGATTATCTGGATTTGACATGGCTCCAACCAATGATTTTAGAGGAAAACAAATGTCTGGAGTTTAAAACTGTATCTGATAATCGTGAAAACAGTCAATATGATCACATCAAAATGTTACTCTGATTTGATGGCATCTGATTTCTGCTCACCACCCGTAAACATCGTGAGTTCTGAACTGAAACCTAAAAATCCTGATTTCTACTAAGTCACCCAGTGACCTCTCTCCCCCCCTCCCCCTCTCTCTCTCTCTCTCTCTCTCTCTCTCTCGCTCTCTCCCCCCCCCTCAAAAGCACACACATCCGCCAGGTGTGGGTGTGCCCCTGATGGATGGAAAGTAATCAAAATGCAAAACAGTTTCTAGCTTAATTTCTCTGTGTTTATGCAAATATCTCTTCCACTCTGCCTCCCTCTGTGTGTGCGCGTGTTTCACCGGTGCAGTGAGAGACCAGTGGAACAGTGAGTAGGTGGAAACTGACATGGAGTAACAAGCTGAATACATAAAACACACACACACACACACACACACACACACACACACACACGGGAAAAGTGTGTGCTATATAGCAAAACTTGAATGAAACAGCAACAATAATCATAATTACTTTTTTGGGGGGCTACACTGGCTGTGTGTTGTGGAGACAAATAGAATTTTGAAATAACTGAAGATGTTCCAAGACTAAAATTACTCTATTTGTCTCGTATTCTTTTGCCGATGGGTATGAAATACTTAAGTATTCTGGCAGGCTATTCGCTTTCGGAAGACACGAACTTTAAATTCTGACGGAATCATTTCATCTCATACTAAACAAAAGAGCAAACTTTTGCACAGCTGTAGGTCGACGGGTGCAAAGGAGAATAACTATGGTCGACAATATAGAACAAGACTCCTGCACACTGTCCATAAATAAAAAAAGTACTTTGGGATGATGTTGGATTTTTTGTTTTTTGATCTCCTATACTTACAAACTAGTCCTGATGAATTTATACCGCAGTAATATATTCTGTAAAAGGTTCAATCAGCTCGTGTATTTCAATGAAAAACCTTACACCATGTTCTCCCATCTACATGAAACAGAAGATGGGAGACAAAGTATTGGAACATCGCGTGTTGGTCAGTACCTGATGGAGTTTCTGAAGTGGTCCTCTGCCGGGTTTTTCACAGTGCAGCTGTTGAGCACCCACAGGTCTGCGTCTGATGGGTCGTCTGTAGAAAGAGAGAAAGAAGATCTTTATTTCATATTTTCACACCACACGAGCGTGACTTCATAAAGAAAAAACAATCAACACGTAATATAATAAAGGATTCAGGAAAGCATAAGGAATCCTAAAACAGCACAAGTTATTTTGTTCCTGCGTGTGTCAGTAAGTCTAAGACGCACTTATGACTTCTGGTGACTAGTAGTTCTCTTGAATACCTATGTTGAATACACGTATTGTAAGTCGCTTTGGATAAAAGTGTCTGTTAAGTGACTGTAATGTAAAGTTAAAGGTATTATATATACATATATACACATACATATACATACATACATATATACATACATATATATACATACATACATACATACAGTTATACAGGTATCACATTTGCAGATTTGAAAAGAGTTCCTCATGGTTCCAGCTCACTGACTGCGATGTACAGATGTGTTTGTTTGTGTCGCTCGTCCCTGGCTCAGCGGCAGCTAATTCACAATGCTGAAGCTAGAGCCAGATGTTTTATCAGTACTGGCCTCCTATTGCTGTGCAACATCAGCCAGAGTTGTATATTTAATAGTTTGGGTTCCATTTGTTGTAAACTTACAACATTATAGCGATACCAGCTAGTGTTCAATGTGTTGTCTTGATTTGATAAGGTTGTTTTGGTAAGGAGACCTTAAAGTTACCAAGAGCATCCCATCCAGCCACTGGACTGTCTCTGACCCAATACAGGTGTACCTGTACCTGCTGGATGATAAAGCGTGTTTATGGGCTGGTACCCTTGGACGTGGAGATTTAAAGTAAGAAAGAAAGAAGAAATGCATCGACTCTATTGCTACAGTTTGATCATGTCAGTGATGGTGCTGAACAGCAAAATGAATCAGAGTTATAATGTAAACTCAACGGCAACTTACAAGCTTTTCTTGAGATTTCATCTGCATCTCAGTGTCTTGTACTTACGATGGCTGATCCCACCCCATCTATACCAGTCGATTCTGAAAACTGAAAACCACTCAACTAATTGTTGCTAGACCAAAAATATTCTTGAGTGTCTCATAACAGCCAGATTTATGGAAGAAAACAAGTATATAATAAACAACCACCTTTTGTCGAAATACTCAAAAACAGGACAAGTTACTTGAAATAAGAACGTCAATTAAACTTGTGTTTAACACACACACACACGCACGCACAAGTGCAATGCTCCTTGTGATGTTAAGCTCGGCTGCTGCACAAGCCGCTGGTGGCAGGCTTTGCATGGCACTGCTAGGAGAGCTGTCACACACAGACACACATGATCGGGGGGGAATGGCACGGCGGTGGTGGGGAGCTGGAAGCCTGCTCCTTTACGCTGACTGAACCAGATATTTCAGTTGGAATCCACTTCCCCGCTGCAGTCAAGCATACACACACCCCACTCACACTGTAGTCCCCGCATTAGTTAACTTTATACAACTTTAGCCACCTGTATCACACACAGCAGGTCGCAGGGTGTGGAGAAAGGAAAGGGGGGGTTATTAACCACACTAGACCTTACCCGAGTTAAACTCTCTCACTCTCAAGCTGCGCACGCACACACACACACACATACACACACAAACACGACCAAGACCTGCACCGTCCATTAAATGAATTACAATAAGACACAAATAAATTAAAGGTCTTCACTATCATTCTTATTCTCTCTCAACAATCAGTTTATCATGCAGATTTTTTAGGAGTTAGAACAATACATATGAAAGCTCTATTGCAGTGGCACTATTAGTATCACTTGTCAAATAATATCGGGGAGTGTTCAAGTTTCAATAAGTTGAATAAAAAAACCTTTATAATGCCAGTTATGAGACAGAAAAGACCAACAAAACTACAAATCTGTAAGATAAAAAAGGAATTTCAAATTAGATTTAGAAACACAGCAGTGCTTTGAGGGGTGTTTTACGGATTGTATCCGACAGTAAGCATGACTTATTGACATCTCGTAAAAAGAGTAGTACAGCTGCATGTCTTCAAAAAGCACTAAAATGATGCGAGTCACACAGGTAGAACATGAATCATGTGTTGGTTTGTTTGGGCCTCAGTGTTTTGTGGGGAATCATGCTCGGGGGGGGATGGACAGGACAAAATATAGAAAGGCCAAAGAATATAAGATTATAAAAGTAATCCTAACCCCAAACTATGAAATATGTGTGCGTATGGGTTAGAGAGAGAAAGAGGGAGAATAAATGCAGCTGGCAAAGGGTGGCCATTATGCCAACCTTTATTTGTCTAAGCAAGCAACCAACACACACACACACACACACACACACACACACAAGCAGGACTAGTGGGAGTGGTCTCAGCTGTCTCCTCTCTGTCCTGAGGGAGGCTTTCCAGACCAACAATAACAAGCTCAGCATCAATTTAACAGACACACACACACGCACACACACACACAAAAGACAAATACAAACATCTGCTAAACAACCCTTTCTACAAAGTCAGAAAAAATTACCAGTAGATAAAACTACAGAAAAAAAGAACTAAAGCAGACAGTAAAACAAAAATATGCAGGTAAATGTGCCTTTATTTAACCAGGTAAGTCTAATGAGAATGTGACTTACTTTTATATATGATTTGGAAATGCTTATTTGTCATCACTGAATGGTATTTGTAGCTGTAAACCTCTATGACTCTTTCAACAGCAGCCACTGGTTTTGATCCAGCATAGGATCCGCAAAGCAGATCCACACAAGTACAAAAGGTTGACATTATCAAACTTCAGCAGCAGATATCGAGAAAATCTGTGACAGGTCACATCAGTTACAACAACTGCTGCCAATGAACTGGGGGTCAGAGCCATCACCATGAATTGAGATTAATCCAGGCAGCAGCTGCTGCTGCTCATTCAGAAAGGTTTAATCTGGAGGCTAAAAAAAGAAAACTTTAACCTTGTTTTGGTTTGGGGATTTCTACTTTAATCATTTCTAACTCTTTTTTTTAATTTTTTTTTACAACAAGACAGGAATAATTCAAACAGCCCCCGACTAAGTGATGGTGTCATCACAGTATTTCGGGGTCATGGGTACTGCAGTCAGCTGTCTCTTGGTGCAAGACCTTCTGTGGATGATTGTGTTTGTTTAAAATTGCTACAATTGTTGGAGTTAACCCAAAGAGAGAAATCTGACCCCACACACAAGGGAGCGGAGTGTGTTGGTTTTAGCAAGCATAAGACAAAAACTCAATTCTGACTGGAAATAGTGGCTCCAGAGGAAATATTAAAAGTGTGCGGGTAAATTGATGTGTGCTAGACAGTGACATATCCCCACATGTATTGTTGCAGGGACACCAAGTGGCTGAAGAGATGGAGAAAAAGGAGAGATAAAGACACTGTTGAAAACTAAATCAATTCCTTGTAAATGTACACATTAACATGTACACAGGATATGATTTAACGCAAACAAATTTAAATGGGACAGAAGTTAAATAAAGGGAAAATCAAGCGCAATGTCCAGTCTACTGATTCCTGATTTAAATGGTATTATCATAGACAGTAACAAGACTGATATGACAAGTCATGAAATAACAAATCAACCTTAATTGAATGGCAAAGCAGTGCTGGTGTAAGCCAACTTTAGCTTGGCCCAAGCTAATGATTCATTTAAGATAAACAGGAAAAAAATCACCATCAGACAAATACTACTCGAGTGTGATGATCTTGACTCTGTGAATTTTCTCAAACAAAGAAATTTGCAATTAACGCCACAGTCTATGGACTGCACTGACAATGGCTGTCACAATCTCAGTGCCAGTTGCTTCTGTTGAGAGAACTTCATCTCATTTGAGATGTATCGAGCCGTAACTGCTGTCATCCATTGCATTGTCCCGCCCGTCATTAGCACAACTCTCACTTGGCACAGCAGTCACAATGAGCTCGACAACAGATGACTCTGACTCTATAAAAGGCTAAATTGTGCATTACTAAAAGCCAAATATTTATACGTTTTACATGTTGAAAAAAATGTGCAATTCAGTCAAGAATAACCTGGAGCAAAATGGCAGTGGACAGTGCAACTGTCAGCTGAACATCTGTTGTCAAAATGTGGACAGCAAAGAGTAGATGTACCTTTAGGGAATATGTTATAATTAGTGCTGGGCAACGATTAAAATATTTAAATCGCGATGAAAATATTTAATCGCGATGAAAATATTTAATCGCGATGAATCGCATGGATTTTTTAAGTTATGGCAAAGTTCAATAATGAATTCAAAAGTAGTGTATTGCGCACTTTTATTTTAAAAGTACTGCTATATGAACAAAAGTGCAATAACATTTGGTTCACGAGATGCAGGTAGCATGTTTTATACTTAATGTGAATATAATTCATACTTTGTTGGCATCTTATTCTGAAAACCGGATGTTCGTCTGAAGAAACCGGATGTTGTCTCACATTTCCACTAACTTTCAAAGTCCTTCGCTCGCTCCCGATCTGTGCCGTTTAAATGCGTTTACCGTGAATTTCAGCATATAGGTGCACTAAAATGTAAGTGTTTGCTGAGTTGACCACGGAGATCTGAGTGTCTGCTGACTTTACCGCAGCGATGTCCAGTAGTCTCCAGGGAGAGCAACAGCTGGTGCAGCTTCTCTCTTTATTTCTGCCCCCCCCCCCCCTCGACCAGAAGCGGAAGTCGCCTTTTCTCTACGGCAACCCCGAAGGGACAACATATCTCCAATACAAAACAATAAACATGAGACAGTCTGTTACAATAATAATAAATTAAAAATACTTACCTGTTTTTTTTTTTTTGTTTTTTTTTTTCCCATCTCAAAAGGCTCTCTCACACACACACACACACACACACACACACACACACACGACTATAGGATGTTTGCTGGCTTTTATCCCACTGTTCTTGTCATCCTCTTGTTGTTATGTCTGTGTATTGTCTCTCGTCTTTCAATAAAAATAAAAATAATAATAAATTTTAAAAATGCGGTAACGCGCGATAAAATAATTGTCAGCGTTAACT